TCCGCGACGAAATAGGTTTTTCTCGTGCAGGCGCTTCAAGACTGTACTCTTGATCGGTTGGCTTGTGGCCGCACACACATCAGGTACCTCCAAGGCCTCCACGGTTACCGCTGTGTCTCTACGTTGGCCTCGAAGAGTGAAACCTAGAAGTCTACTGTGCAATACTTGGAAGGGCTTTGAGTGGCCGAACGTGACGAAAAATGTTCCGCGGTTCCGATAACCGGGCGTCTGAGCCACCTTGAAACGTCCGCTTTAATAAATTTGTATTGGCTGCCGCTTCTAGGAAAGAGCGCGTGAGCGCCTTCGTGTGCCGATCTCAACCCCTATACGTCCTGTTTGTAGTAGAAATGCATTGTTCGCGCTCAGGGTGCATGGGGCACGTGTCACTAAAGGAGCATTCGTGGCTCGACTCGTGATACAAGGCGTGTCAGTATTCACTTTCTTCCCGTTTGTTAGTGTTGGAGCAGCAGGTTGGAACTAATGATGGACGCAGAATCGTTAAATGTCAACGATGGCACTTATTGCACATGATGCTGCACACACGCCGACAAAACCGTGACATGTGGTTGCTTCTACCGCAGCGGTAGCAGCATCGAGCACCACGCAAGCGAGCCGACTTTTTGTCCGCTGAGAGCTGGATACTGCACTCCGCGATGCACGACAAAAGGTATAGCGTAAGGAACAAGCTACTTTCGTAACTGCAAAAAACTTGGCAGCGAGTGCGGACATCACTAGCACGTGTCCTACTTGCTCTGCATGTTGAACGACGTCTTCAGGTAGGAAACGTGAAAAAGCTGACGCTGTTTGTCCTGACCAGCCTTCCTTTTTGATCATAATGTGGGTGCTCAGGAAAGTATTTTTGCAACCTAGGCGAGCTCTCTCCTGAGGGGTCGTGGCAGCAGACGCATCCAACGACACTTCATTCACCTTATGGCGGTACAGTATGGCGAGGTCGACAGGCAGGCACTTCCTTAGCATGTTGTTGGTGGAAACATTGTACTGGTCAGATGAGACGTTCAAGCCACTCAATGCGGAGGCTTGAAAGTATCTTGCAGTAGAGCAGACAAAGCGTCTCCGCATCTGCCGAAGACTTGACAGGCGCTAAGGAGAGGAGATGGTCAAAGTGCTCGTTAATCAGCTACACGCCGACCAAGACACTCTTCCAATGTCCTGACAGCGTTGTCGTAGTCATCTTCTGTCAGTCGGATGTCTTCGATGGCTCTCTTCACTGCACTGCTCAAGTAAGACTGCAGGTACTTGAACTTCTCGATCTGCACAAGGTCTTCAATGAGGTGTATGGTGGCACTGATATTATCTCAGAAGGATTGCCAATCGCTAAGTGCGCCGGAAAACGTCAGAACCTGTAGTTTCGACAGGACCACTGTGCAATGACGCGGCATAGTTCCTTGACTGGGTGTTACATCAGCTGATCACAGTGAACAGTCACTAACCTCGCTCTGTGCTGAGATGGTGCGCCACCGGCAATCGGCATTTGGTGATGTAGCCTTCGGCCTCGCCGCACTCGTTTCTGTAGCCTTGTTTGCCGTCTCTCGGAGGATGAACCACGCTCGGGACACGGCATATGAGACCCTTCGGTCGTACTTTTTCCTTGTTCCTTCTTCAGGCTGGCAAGCTCGGTGTTTATCTGCAGCAGCTATATAGGCAACGTGACAGTCTGCTTTAGCGGCATCGGAGTGGAGCCTGCAGCTCGTCGGTCAGAAGCGTGGCAGATTGCGTTACGCTGGCCCTGGCAACGCCTAGGTTCTTGAGCGGCGGCTCGACTGATGCCACATAAGCAAGAAGTCTTGGAAGGGCTTGACCAAGGGATTTCGGTGCGAGAAATAATGCCACGTAATAACGAAGCAGAACCCTACGCCAAGAACTACATGGTTTTTGATGATGATGATGATGATGATGATTTTTATGATTCTACTTGTTATTCTGGCACTCACAAACAAAGAGGGATCGGACAAGAACCGAGCGGCAGGATCTTTAAGTAAAAGGCTTATGGTTTTACAAACACACAGTAATTTTGGATTGAAAATACATATATGTATATAGAAATGAAAGCCAAAAATCCTAAAAGGAGTACATCTGAGCAGGGATCGATGCAGGCTATCAGATATGATTTGAGATAGAGGTAATGGTGGGTCTAAAACGAATAATATATATATATATATATATATATATATATATATATAATGTTACACTGACGAAGGCTGACCCACCAGCTGAAACGTATGTGAATATTAAAAGTGTTTCGTCGTACGTCGTGCTTTCTCGCTTCCATTTTCTCTACGGAGCCAGTGTGCTTCCTTCCTCGCTACGTTACGTATATATATATATATATATATATATATATATATATATATATATATATATATAAATATATATATATATATAAATATATATATATATATATATATATATATATATATATATATATATATATATATATATATATATATATGTATATATATATATATATATATATATTGAACTTGAAGGGAAGGCACGAGAGGTCCGGGTATTTTCTATATTGAATGAACTTGAAGATAGCACATTTGAAAAGAAAAACGTATTTACTAACGTTTCGGCCGTGCCACGGCCGAAACGTTAGTAAATACGTTTTCAAATGTGCTATCTTCAAGTTCATTCAATATATATATATATATATATATATATATATATATATATATATATATATATATATATATATATATATATATGTATACACAGGGCATTTTAACATGGTAACATGGCAATCGCTTTGTATCAATTCTGTAGTCAAATACCGCAGAGCAGACGTCCCTGTGGCTATAACCAAATTTAATGCTGCCAAGCGATAAAATTACTGCAGTATTTATTTCTAATCCTAATTTTTCAAGTGAAGCTACCAGATATCTTTTCGTCTGATGAGAATATCGGTGACAGAATAAAATGAAATGATCCATCATTTCCATTTCTTCCAAAACCTGACATAAAGGCGACGCCTTTAGACCAACTTTATGCAAATAATATTTTAGTTGCAGAATTCTACAACGCAATCTGGTATAAGTAACTTCCAATTTTTACCACTCGCGTCAAACTTCCTTTTTCTCTTCCACCACCCTTTCATGTTGCTATCCATCCGCGATCATCGGCAACATTCATTTCTTGCTTGTTTACTTTTTCCTTATTCTACACGTGATTTCGCCTGCGTTACGCTAAGCGCAACGGCATACGACAGCGCGGGCCACTAAAGTTTTGCGCACGTAATATTACTGGAAGAGAGAAGGAATATCTCAGCTCGCTCTCAACATTTTAGATTACGATGCGGAATTACACACCAGAATTATTACTTACATAAAGCTGGACTACAGAATCTCCGTTATGTCTCTTTAGCAAGGAATTATAATCAATAGATGATTTCTTTTTATTCTGTCACTGATATTCTTATCAAAGAAAAAGATACCTGGTCGAACAAACTTAGAAGCTAGGTTTAAAAATAAACGTGGAAGCAATTTTCTACTTCGGAGAGATTACATTAGGTTATAGTCACAGGGAGGTTTGCTTTGCTGTGTGTGCGTACACAATGGTCACAAAAAGATTACCTTGTTAGTCTTTTGTCATTATTATTTTCGGCTACGAGACTACCTGAATGCCTTGCTCATAACTAACTTACGTGATGATCCTGCCACCCGGTTCTCAGCCGATCTCCCTTTGTGGGTGAGTGCCAGCGAAGCTAAACGCTCATAATCATCATCATCAATTCAAATTTCTGTTTCCCCATTATATTATTCACCGAATTAATGGTGAATCCACCGTAACGGGCACGAGCCCAAACAGAGGTTCAAGCAAGCAAGCAAGCTCTGGGATGAACCTGTCAGCGCTGCAACCACTATAGTGTACCCATATCGAGCAAATGGTATACAGACTACAGTATAGCTGCTCGTCATTCCCGTTATTATAATCAAGGCACTTGAAGAACAGAAGAAGAAACACTGTCCCTAGCGCGCTCACTATGCTACCGCTGGCGGTGCTACTCATGGTTTTTCCTGGGTTACGCCAAACGATGACCGCATACAACCACTCGGATCCTTAAAGCCCCCCACACCTAAAAGCGTGCTCAGGCGAACACTACATTACATAAACTGTATTCATGCTTCCATGCTATTACCTGTTTGTTGCTAGTTGGTCATGCGTACTGTGGTAAGAGTGCATGCCATAAGGTACGCAGAGTGCTAACATTTCTGAAGGTATCTCAACACATTTTTCGTTTACCTGGTTTCTCTCAGGTAGTAATATACTGGAGCAGGCAGAGAAGCCCTGAAACATGTTCGTATATTTTTGCCAAATTGAACACCATGTACTGAAAAGTAATCGTTCCTGTATTTGCATAGATAGTTATGTCAACATCCAGTGTCTGCGCTTTTTCTAAAATATATTTTCACTATGAGCGTGATCGATTGCGAAAGTATATCTTGCTTGCTTTTGCATACGTTTCACACACAGGAATTTCTTGTAGTGTTCTTATGCAGTGAATGCGTACACCAGCCAAGTTTCATACGCCTAAATCACGGGTGGACGCAAAGGTGCTATACTAAAACATCGGTAGATTGTATTCACAAGACGGTGCTCCCGCTCCTACCTACGTACACTACTTAATTTAAGCGCACCAAATTTTACTCGCGTGCACATTTATATAAGTTTATGGTACTGAGACAAGAAAACAAAAAAAAAACGCTTCATCATTCTCAACAGGATCAAAAAATGAACGATAAACGTTATTCGAACATCCCTGACACATTCTTAGGGTGGAAACTGCTTGATGCTAGAGACTTTCAACAGTGTTTTTTTTTTGGTGCAGTCGAGCTCTTTCAGAAAGGCTAAATATGTTTTATTGAAATCTTTATGAACATTGTCTTGTGTCCAGTTTGTTGGATGTAAAATTAAAGACTGAATTGTAGCTGTTTATCTTCTGGGGCTGTCGAAAATACTTACGAGATTCTCTTTTTCAGCGGAATTTCACACTCAACGAATCTCCACCACTGGTAAGTAGTTTATTATACAGCTTCGCAACAGTGCATTCAACGTGTGGCTCTTCAAAGTAGTTCATCCTGCCCTGCTATAGGGCCGACATAAACGTCACTTTGATATGAAAGAAAATCGGATGCTACTTTATGTGCTCTGCGATAGCATGCTGGCTTTTACAACACTCAATTGCTCAACCCATGTGCTAATTCTACAAAACTTCACTATTTATAGACCAACCATCAAACATATTCACTACCGGGTGAAAAACATTTTGAGCAGAGTTCATTCGCACCAAGTAAATGCACGTTTTCAGCTCTTTCCTCCTTCTCCCCCCCCCCTAAAAAATCTGATCAGAAACCTCATGAAAGGAATGTCATGGCATGTGTAAAAATTAGCAAATTTTTTCACCACGAGGGTGCTTTACGCCGGTGTCCCCCAAGACAGCAGTGATGTATTTCAGTAACAAAAATAACACCTAGAAAACTGCACTATCAGAAAGCAAAGTAAAAGCTCCGTTAGTGGGAGTCGAACGCAAGACCTTTCCGTTCACGACAAAAAACGCCAGGCACACTACCGCCTGCGCCACGGCCACTTACAAACGTGCCTTTTATATTGAACGCTATGCTACCACAGGGATATTAGTAAAATAAAGTAATGCATCATGACCATAACATCCACAATTATTTCTTCAACGTGTCGTTTCTACGCGTTTGTCCTATTCGGCGTGTTTTGATAGGATAGACGGGTGGATGAAAACATCCGTATATGCAGTGATGAATGACTGGAGTTCCTAGTCCAGGACCGCTTTGGCTGCACACCGGTCTTTGCTCGGGTCACCAGGGCCTCTTGAACAACATGGTCCGGATTAGACAGTGGCGCTCCTCAGCCATCTCTACTGAAATTCTTCAAAGGGCCACTCACCACGTTTAACAATTTTGTGCTGACAAGCGCAATGCGTAGACGGGGCGTTCACGGTGACATCTGTCAAAATTTGCAACGCTACGCACCGCGGAAATGGGTCAAATTTCAGGATGAACGCTGCTCCCTTTCCTTTCGCGGGCGCGCGCCCAGAGATAGAAGGCATGGCGTGCACCTATAAATTGCCCTACGTACCCCGCAGTGCAGTGACGTTTGTCCTCTGCGTAGACGACTGCGCTTTGACGTTGCCAACAGTGACACGTCACATTGCAAAATTTATTTGCCACGACATGCGTAGTCATGTAATTTGTTGCTTGAGAAGATTATTAAAACTTGAGATAAATATTGAGACGCAGTAAGAGAATGTTGGCGTCTTTTTTTTCAATTTTTTTCGTGTGAATTGCAACAAGCTGCGTAGCTAATGTGCCAGCGTTTCACGCGCGCTCGTGTCCCCGTGGTCATTACATCGAGCAGGCGACAGCCGAAGCGAAAGTAACACTCCCTCGAGTTCACTCATTGTTCGTATCTATTCTACCGCGTCTAAGCCAGCGTTTCCAAACCATCCCGCAGAAACAGGCTGTAGAGCACAAAATAACGCTGGTAATCAAAACTATGCCGTTCGCCTGCTCGGAGTTCGGGCTTGTTCGGGCACGTAATGCGCAAGTGACCTTTTGGTCGAACGCCGGTGAGGGTATTCGCCGCGAGATCAGGCTATAGGTGACAGCACTGCCGCGCGAAAGTGTGGATAGGCGGTCGGTGGCGCGTATACAAATACACGCAGTTGCGCTTCGTTCCGGGTGGTCTGAGCCGACTGTCGGCTGATACAATGCGTTGACTACTGTTTATGGTTAATATCTACGCTCTTCTCAACTGAATCGGTGCATGACTTTAATGCAACTTTAACATTACCCGTGAGTTAAGTGCTTCTGCCTTTCAAAGGGATGCTCGCCCTGGGTGACTCTATTCACGCTCTCGCACTAAATCGTGCCTTCGTTGTGTTGTTTGTACGTGGTTAGCTTGTGTTCTGCCGGCTACGCAGTGCTGTAACGTGACTGAACTAATTTACAGCTTTATCATAACATACTACAAAAAAGGGAGAAAGGAAGATCGTAGAAAGCCCGTATATCTGTGCGATTTGTTCGGTACCACCATTCGCACCTTATGCGCATATGATTTTTGTTTTCTCAATCTGTTCACCATGAAATCTGGGATGGTCGATAAATCTAATCACGAAAGCTTAGTGGCTCACGGCGCTTTGAGCTACACTGCGTTTACCACATGTACGCACATGTTCTTGCACTATTAAGAGAGAGATAGAGACAGAATAAAATGAGGGAAAGGAAGAGAGGTTAACCAGAAAGAGACGGATCCGGTTCGTTACCCTTCACTAAAGGAAGGAAGAATGGGGAATAAAGATGGAAAAGAAATTGTGCAAAAATCTTATATGAGAGTTTGGTAGAAAGCTTTCGTCGATTGATTTTGTGCATGAGGGTGCTACAACGAAGGCCTGAATAATTAGACAAGCATGTTTTTTTTTCCGACAAAAATTACCACTGCCTTCCGTCGGTCAATAACAATGCCACACAAACGCTTAAAAAAGATGAATTTTTCCGTGAAATTATATAACATTTTATATAGGGCATGCCATCTCAACTAATTTTCAACGGAGGGCTCTTTAAAACGTTCTTAAATCTAAGCACACGGTCGCGCATAGTTACTCTGTTTTAAGTACAGTGTGAGTACCAAATTCTCACAGTTTATGTGAGAGTAGGGTGCACGGTAAAGAACCCCAGGTGGTCGAAATTCCCGGAACCCTTCACTACGGCGTCTCTCATAATCATATGGTGGTTTTGGGACGTTAAACCGCACAAATCAATCAGTTTATGTGAGAGTAATATTTCTATGTAGTCGTACCACGACGAGAAAAACAAAACTAAGCTTCCACGCATTATCGATAAGCTACAGTGCCATAGTTGTACACCTACCAACAGCGCGTAAGTGCATGACCAAGAGCCTTTTATTTTTTACAACCGAGTCGCTATAAAACGCTGCATTCTCCCAGAATTTAACAGTCCTCGTATTTGTAAGGATGACAAGAGTATTTGCGATGCGCTAGAAACAGAAACCAGCCCCCACTCTGAAACAAGGCTGGCGAATGAAGGGCACGACGACAATAAACAGCACTTTAGAAAGTTGCACTCGCCGATTTGATTTATAAGCATTAGCAGCCGAGAAAGGCCAAATGCTTTCATACGTCGTTTCAGGCATATGTAAAAACAGTTACACTCACGCTGACATGACCGGACAAACCACACTTTGAGAAAGTGCATGACGTACGCGCACATAGAAACACGGCCCCACCGCGGTTGTCCAGTGGCTAAGGTACTCGGCTGCTGACCCGCAGGTCACGGGCTCGAACCCCGGCTGCGGCGGCCGCATTTCTGATGGAGGTGGAAATGTTTTAGACCCGTGTGCTCAGATTTGGGTGCACGTTAAAGAACACCAGGTTGTCAATATTTCCGGAGCCCTCCACTATGGCGTCTCTCATAATCATATGGTGGTTTGGGGTGTTGCATAGCCTTTATGTAGGTGAGGGGTACTTCTCAGGGTCAGACCTTATCGTTTGTGAGCGGTGCCAAGTTACATGTGTGGCATTAATGAGTTGAGGATGTGGTGTAAGCATATTTTCTGTACAAAATCTCTTGGGTTTGAGAAATTTCAGGGTATGTGGCCAAGTGCGCTATTTAATCTGGAAGGACAGGTTTACCTGAACTGATTGATTGATTGATTGGTTAATTGATTGATTGATATATGGGGTTTAACGTTCCAAAACCACCATATGATTATAAGAGACGCCATAGTGGAGGGCTCCAGAAATTTTTACCACCTGGGGTTCTTTAATGTGCACCCAAATCTGAGCACACGGACCTACAACATTTCCGCCTCCATCGGTAATGCAGCCGCCGAAGCCGGAATTCAATTTCGAGACCTGCAGGTCAGCAGCCGTGTACCTTAGCCACTAGACAACTGCGGCGGGGCCATTCCTGAACTGAAGCTAAAGCCCCGGGGTAAGAGAGCTCGGGCGGAAACATAAGCCAGCTCTTTGCTTCTGAATTCACAGTGAATAGTGTGGGGATCTGAGGCGCGCCTGCGACCATTTCGCGGGCATTCCGCCGCAAGGCCACACCCTTTTGCTTTCCTGCTCTGTTAACACCACGTGGCGATAGATGGTGCCACGTGCGGTCACGGCATGTGGTATGCGCGCGCCGAGGGAGTGCTCTCTTCTCCCTGGTCGGCGCCGGGTAAGCACGTGTTTTCCTTCGTCCGCGTTTCCTTTGGGACTCGCGGACTGTAGCCTGCCTGGGGTGGCCTTGGGCACCTCGGCAGGCGTGTTTACTTGAGTGCTGGCTTCGGTAGCGTACGCTAAGCCCAGAGCGGTGCCTAGTGCTTGAAGTGGTCGTACCACAACGAGCCGCACTTGCCGTAGGCCTACGCGTACGAGGTTTGCCCTAACACTCGCGACCAGGCCCATTGGCCATCGTGAGAGTGCGCAGCATAGCCGCGAGGGACCTTTTCCCGACCGGTGTGTCAAAGCTCGCCATTGCCAGCTGCGACGTGCTCGCGGTTTTCCCCTTATTGTGAACGTCCGTGTGCGGGTGCCTTTGCTGCCCGCGTCCCGGGAGCGGACGTTGTAGTGTTGTTCGGGGTGCTGCCAGAGGCAATAAAGTGTTGTGTGCTTTTGAATTAGAACACTGTCTATTTGCCGCGCCGCGCTAAACGCCTTATTAGTAGAGCGCGCGCGGAGCGGTGCGATACACGCGAGTAAACGGAGTAGCGGCGCTGTGGCTCGCTAAGCGTGAACCCGCGGTGATCGTCCGCTGCAGTTAGTAGCGGGGTCACCCACACTGGCGCCCAACGCGGTATCAAATTCTCATTAAGCCTTTGGTTAGTCTTAGCGAGTCAGTTCACCTGCGCGATTCGGGCTCGTCGCAACATGTCAGCTTCATGGCATGCCGCGTTGCACAAAGAGGCCACCGCCTCTATTTACGGGCGCCCTTCGGCGCTCGCCTGTGTCGTCACCCCTTTTTGTGGTGAATAC